CAGCTCCTCCAACCCCCAACCCAAGCTCCTTGGCCACACTTTTCCCTCCTCCTAATTCCTAAGGATTTAGTACTTTATTATGTCCCAGCAAGAGATAACACTTCCTCCTTGGGAGGAGGAGGAAAGAATCTAACAAGATTCTAGGGCTTCCCTGGTGGCGCAGTGGTTGAGAGTCTGCCTTCCAATGCAGGGGACGCGGGTTCGTGCCCCGGTCCGGGAGGATCCCATCTGCCGTGGAGCGGCTGGGCCTGTGAGCCACGGCCGCTGAGCCTGCGCGTCCGGAGCCTGCGCTCCGCAACGGCAGAGGCCATGGCAGTGAGAGGCCCGCGTACCGCAAAAAAAAAAAAGATTCTAACAAATCCAAGATGCTCTTAGGGAGGGTGCAGAAGGGAAAGCACTGTTGCATTAATGACACCAATCCCATCACAGCTATGAAACCCCTGCGCTGTGCCCAGACTGGACACCAGATTCAGAAGATCAGATCTGACTAAAGTCAGGAACAGTGTTTGAAAAGCCAGGACAGGTTATAGGTACGATAAGTCAGCTGAAGAAGAATGGGCACTTATAGCAAAACTAGTTCCACACACCCAATTTCTGCCTTACGCCGGGTCCCTCGTACTGCCCACTGAACACCAGCCTACACTTCTCCTCCACTTATTACCAGCTCAGTAATCCTTGCCATTCTCCATTCAGAATCCATTCTTTCCTTTTATTGGCATAAGACAGCAACATACAATGTCAGAAGCCTCAGCCCAACACTTCTGCTGCCTGCAACTCATTGCTGGAAAGTCTCTTAAAGGAAGCAGAGCTTTTTACTTTGTAGATTAAAAAAAGGAGTAAAATGTAAATATTCTTCTGAGTGATCTACAGTAATACTCAAGGGATTGGCAAATCTGATGTTCTTCTTAGAAGAGACAAAGCTGAAGAACTGGAGAAGGAAAGAATCTTGAGATAATTTTCTAAGACTTTACACTTTTTCTAGGGCTGAGTCCAGGAGGGACTCTTGATTTCTTTGCCATGTGATGGGGTATAGACCTAGTCAGGGTCACCCATGCATCCATATGTTTCCCAGAGTGGATGTTTTCGTTTCCTGCCACAGCCCCTAACTCAAAACTAAACTTCAACCCACAACCTTATGCCACTGTGTTCACATGCGTGCTGAGGGATGTTCTTGGAAGTTATGAGAAAATGTAATCTATGGTCCAATAAACTTGGGGATTTAATGAACTAATGTACAATTCAAGACTGCAATAGAAAGTACAGTGTTTCCCTAATACAGCAGTTCTCAGACTGTGGTCTGTACAACTCAGTGAACCAATATTTTCCAAATAATCAATGCATGATGTTACAGAATCATTCATGCTTAAAAGATTCATTAAAGCACAAGACAGACTAATGGATTTTAATATAATAAAGTGCAAAAAGGGCTCTGATACGCTTTCAGATGTCATATTGCCACAAACCTTTAAGAAACTACCATTTGTCAAGTTTTGGTACAGTATTAAAGAAAAATATCCACAATTTTCTAAAAAGGTTATAAAATATTTCTCCTTTTTCCTACTACAAATCTGTGTGAGGCCAAATTTTCTTCATATGCTCAACCAAAACAACATATCACAAAAGAATGAGTGGAGAAGCAGTTGAGAATGAATATCTGACTATTGATCCAGACATGAAAGAGATTTGCAAAAACCAAGCAAACAGAAAGTAAAACTATGCCACTCTTATCACTAAATGTTTGGGAAAATACAATTATTTTTCACAAAAAAATATTGTTTAGGCTTCCATATATGGGGCTTATTTTGTTTTTCAATAAATTAAAACCTTTATAATTTTTCAGTTTTAATTTCTAATATAAAAGTATTAATAGATATAACCCACATGAAACTCTTTGGGATACTCGGTAATTTTTTAGAGTGAAAAGGGTCTTCAGATCAAAAAGTTTGACATGCTTCCCTAATATATTTTGATCATGGAAGCCTTTCTGTGTGGAACACCTTGAGCATATTCTATGGAACATACAATGGGAAACAGAGTCTCATGTTGTGCTTATCAAACTATTCCGGGGGGCTTCCCCGGTGGCGCGGTGGTTGGGAGTCCGCCTGCCGATGCTGGGGACATGGGTTCGTGCCCCGGTCCGGGAGGATCCCACATGCCGCGGAGCGGCTGGGCCCGTGGGCCATGGCCGCTGAGCCTGCGCGTCCAGAGCCTGTGCTCCGCGGTGGGAGAGGCCGCAACAGTGAGAGGTCCGCGTACCGCAAAAAAAAAAAACCCAAAACAAAACAAAAAAAAAACTATTCCTTTTCATGTCTCTTCTCCCTAGACCTTCTTCAACAAGTTAATTTATATGCTGCTCAAAGGGTTTCCTCTCACACAGTAGTTTTGTGCTTATGACCCTGGCAGTAAATGCATATATCTTTTCTGGCAAATACAGGGGGATACTGACTTCATTTATTTAGAAGAGGCCATAATCTACAGAATTATTTCACTGAGCAAATGCTACAAATAGGAGAACTGATGACATAGGTTAACGTGCTCCTATAGCAGATAGTCTGCTATGAGATACCGCGCCAGGATGTCCCAAGAGCGTAAAGGATATCATGTCAGCTAGAATCGGGGCCAATTTGGTTTACCACTCAGTTTCCGACAACAGGAGAGTCACTGACTGAGATGCTTATGTTACAAATTACTCTTTTATAAAATCAGCAGGATGACAGTAATTTATTACTCTGAGTACCGACAATTTGTTTGTAAAAACCGTAAGCAAGCCAAAAATAACTTAAGAACAGATTCATATTTCTACCGTGGCTTTTTAGAACACAGAGTAAGGCCAATTCTTTACTTTCAGCACGACTCGAAGCCCCAGTTCCAGAACTTAGTTATAAATCTCTCCTCCTGTCAGGTAGCTGAATCACTGGCTAGAAGCCTGTTCTCAGATGGCTATAAAAGATTTTGGGCAAGAGTCAAAAGTGTAAAGTGTTGAACAGCTATTCCATGCAAAAACTCCCCCCAAGGAAACTCAGTCCTTCTATAGAGCTGGCACGGAGTACGGGCTGTTCAGTCCTCTAATTTTCATTCTGGAATTTACCCAAATAACAGCAACCATTAAATATACTTATGCAGTTTTTTAAGCATCTAGTTTATAAAAATGTTGCTCAAGGATGACCGGGATCTCATCCTGAGAGCTGAAGACGCTCATCTTGGTCTCTTTTTCTTTTTACTTAAGACTAGAAGTGAAATTAGCATGTAATCTGCTTCTGGTAAAACTTTCTTTAGTGAAAAATTTTTATAGCCATAAATGCTTACTAGTTTTAGGTTCCATTCTAGTTCATTTAGTCCTCCCAGGAACTCTATGAGATAGAGACTATAATTATCCCCATTTTACAGATAAGGAAACAGGCTCAGTGTTGCCTGAGGCCACCTAGTTTACAGGTGGCAGATAGGACTAGAATCCCGGAAGTTAGTCCCTCTGAACCAGACGCTGTCCCACCTGAGATGCATGATCAATAACATCGAATGCTTTTTATTAAGAAGATATCCTATTCTGTGCATAAAATAGTGGTTTTTAGCTCCAGATGAACCATTATTCCAAAAAGCCTTCCTTACACTCCAGTGTGTTAAGCCCCATTCTCTGTCTTCCCATCACGCCCTGTCCACAGACCACGTGGTATTTACCTGCTGCTGCTTCTGTCTCCCTTCTAGCCTGTACTACATCCTCCCACCCAGTACCTGGAGCAACAATCTGAATGAGTGAGAGAACCAAGGAAAGAACAAACAAAAGTGAGTCTCCACAAATCCACTTAGTCACGAAGAACATTAATTTCCAAATGAGGTTCGTGCATCATGGAGGGTATGCAAAAAAAAACCCAGTGGAGTGCAGGGAGAAAACATTAGCATTTCTCTTTCTATTCACCGACATTTACCACAAGGATTGGCATTAGCATCCTCAGAGTCTGCTCCAGTGCGTGGGGCAGACAGCCACACAGGCCGGCGAGGCACTCAAGGCCTAGCATGGGCATTCCTCAGCTTGTGGGGTTAGCAGCAAGGCCCTCACCTGCTTGCTTGCTTTCTGTAGCCAGTTTACATGGGCCGAACTGAGAAAGTGGCTGTCGGGATTATATTTTCAATTGTATCTAAAGTAACCCTCACAAAACGGCCAGGTGGCTTTGAATGAGTCCTGCACAGAACTGCAAAAAAATGCTAGCAACAATACAAGCACAAATAAATGGGAAAATAGTAGAGCTGGCGATATTGTTTTTTTTACCATTTCTCATATAATATCTTTCTCACCCGTATCATAAGATATAACAACAAGCTGGTCAGATCGGACTTGAAGTTAGCCAAAAAAACCCAAAAAAACAAAAACCCTGAAAGTATCAAAACTTAGATTCATATCCACTATTTTTTACCAAAGGTCTCTGCCTAAGTGAATATGATACCTTGGGAAACTGCCTAATAATACTCTTCTACAGCTTATAAATAAATATATTTTTGTTAACAAGATCAAAAATGTGGAGCTCGCTGATCTAGAACTTTGCTACTCAAAGTGCAACCTTCAAACGAGCAGCGCCTACGTCACCTGGAGGCTTGTTAGAAATGCAGACTCTCAAGGTCCATCCCAGACCTACTGAATCAGATTTTGCATTTTAACAAGATCCCCAGGTCCTTCATAGGCACATCTCTGTTTGCGAAGCACTGCTTTAGAACACACATCTTAAATGATCTGAATCCTAATAGTTCAGCTCTTATGTATACGCTTAGAAAGATTTCTCTGTTGAATTTTTGAACTCGTAAACTTCTGATTTTAATACCTATTATCAAATGTTCTTCAAGACTATAAAGAACTATCCCCATGAACCAAAAATCCAGTGAAATAATCTACGTATAACTACAGCATTAACTCCTTATTAATTCCAGTATCTTAAAATAAATGTTCTGATCCTGTTCAACAAAAACTATCCAGCCACACCTTCATCTTTTTGATCCCCACCTCCACTTACTTTTGTTTGACCGTCGGCTTTGAACACATAGCAGATACTCTGCTGACTGGCTGCATCGTCTTTAATCAGACAAGCAAAATAACTTGGGTCGTGACTGTTATGAATCAGTCTGTGAACTCGCTGAGGCTTACACTCGAAGATGCTGGAACAGATCAGTGGATCCCATTGTTGGCTTTTCCCTGGTTCAGGCTCACATCTCAGTCCGGAGGGCGAAACACAAAGGTGGACTTGCTTGGTACCAGACTCCTTTGTGGAGGACTGCCCGCTGAGCCTTCGCACCTCTGCCACGACCCAAGGCAGCATGGGCATGGTGGTCAGAGAATGCACGGGTAAGAAGCCCACCAGCTGGAGGCTAAATTCCACCGAGACCTCGCTAGGAAATGGATGTTTCCTTGCTGTGAAGGTTATTGGTTCCATGTTGGGAAAGGTCTGGAAACTCAGCAAAACATTGCCGCTGTTTTCTATTTTAGACCAAACAATCTATTTTACATGCTTCTGATGCAGAATCCTGCGGGAGAAAAACAGAGGCATTAGAATTTAATGAAGTTGCAGCATTTCAGAGCTTAAGAGGCTGAAGCCCAAAGAGAGGAAGAAATAGATATTAGTTCACATACGCTGCTCTGCCTAGAAAGAGCTTTCTTGAAATCGTATTACATATAAAACCTGAAAATGCCGTAACTGTCACACTCACTACGGGTTACAAAGATCCCACCGGGAAGACTCCGGTTAAACATAAGCCTCATAGAGCCAACAAAGGCCAGCACCATAGAAAACAATATAGTGCTGCTTGGACGGCTTTAAACCCTGCTGCATTATTTAACATACTTTCAAGGAATTTTTTAAGATGATTAAATTCAGTACTGGTGGCTTCCCCCAAGAAAGTAATCTTGCAAGAAAAATATATCAGCTCTCTATCATCACAGTCTATTGAACCAGTCCAGTTTTCAACAACTGACCTTATCACTTATGATACCACTGAAGCTTTAAAACGCTCTTCCTGACTTCCCTGGTGGTCCAGTGGTTAAAACTCTGAACTCCCAACGCGGAGGGCATGGGTTCCACCCCTGGTCGGGGAACTAAGATCCCACATGCCACACGGCTGCGGCCAAAAAAAAAAAAGAAGGCTCTCCCTGATGTAGCCCAGAGGTTCTGAATCACCAATTCAAATTCCATTAACATGTACTTGGCAACTATTATGTTCTGAACACCATCATAAATATTTTGTTTCGTTCATGTGCTACAAGCACCCCAACACCTTGCATCTCCTCATCAATAGAGGGTGTTTCCTGTACTAGGACCCGAACTCACTCAGTGGGAAATTTTTCCTTCTCTATGGGTGATTTTCAAAAACCACATTTGACGTATCTTAACACCCTCCTGCTCCATTGGATGACAAAACCCTTTTGTCCAAAGCTGAGTTGTCTACAGGATTTCAAGCTCTATTCCTTACTCATTTGCTCCCTGGACCTTCATTCTCTCATGTATTCCCTGATCATATATACACACGCTAAGAAGAAATTCTATGAAGATGGAGACTGCATCTTATTCACCCACAGAGCCTGACTCAGAATAGGCTCAATAGATATTTTAAGAGAGTGAATGAAGTCTCTCTCCCATCCAAAAAAAAAGATATTTTCCCTTGACCTCAAACCTCCCCCGGCCTCAACTCTTCTTTCCCTACACAACTGTCTCTAAGGTAAAGTCTACACTTGCTGTCTCCACTCCCTCCTGCCCATCCACAATCTAGATTGCAGCCAGAAGTAATGAAGAGCCCCCGCAATTGCTCCCATTAGGGTCGCCCACATCCTCTGGTTGTGAACTTCAAAGGGGGACTTTTAGTCCTTAGCTGCCTTGTCCCTTCTGACGAATTTCTCAATGTTGACCACTCCATCCTGCTTGAAACTCTCCTGGTTCTCCTCTTACCTCTCTGGTTGCTTCTTTTCAGTTCCTTAATGGCTTTTCGCCCCTGCTTGACTCCATCCTCCCCCCTCATTCCACCTGCATCCTTTGGACAATTTCACCTAATCTCTTGATGTCAGTGACCACATTCTAATACTCCTGCTGCCACTGATAACAGCTTACTTTCATTAGGTACCAGGCACTTTGCAACAGTTCTCATTTCACTTTCATAACAACCTTCATCTCTCACCTTGGTCTCAGTTAGAGACTACTATTATTGCCATTTTTACCACTTAGGAAACTGAGGTCCAGAGAGCGTGAGTCGCTTATCACAGGTGATTTGAGTTTGCACCTGATTCTCAACCTGTCCTCCTGAATGCTGCACAAGAATGCATCTACCACATAAACCCTGATGATTCCCATATGTTTGTCTCCTTCCTGAGTTCCAGTTCAGGATAGTCTATTAAGTATTTCTATCTGGATATCCTACCCAGATAGCGCCTCAGCCTCAATTTAGCTGTTTTAAAACTAATTCAGTCTCACCTCCCTCCTTTCCAGAACTTCTCTTCCTTCCCATAAGCTACATCTCTGCAACAACATCACAATTTATTTTATTGGCCCAGTCAAAAGCCAGGGAGTCACAGCTGTAGACTGAATGTTTGTGTCCATCCTCCCTCCATTCATATGTTGAAATCCTAACCCCCATTGTGATAGTGTTTGGAGGTGGAGCCTTTGGGAGGTGAACCCATATGAATAGGATTAGTGCCCTTATAAGAGACCCAGAGAACTCTCTTTCCCCTTCTACCATGTGAGGACACAGGGAAAAGACAGCAGTCTATGAACCAGGAAGCCAGCCATCACCAGATACTGAATCCACCAGCACCTTGACCTTGACCTTCCCATCCTCCAGAACGTGAGAAATAAGTTTCTGTTGTTGGAAACTACCCAGTCTGTGATGTTCCGTGACAGCAGCCTGAACAGACTAAGATAGTCATTCAGATCCCTTCTTCACCCTATCACTACTTCTAAGCTGACTTCACATCTAAATATATCTTATCTTTTCTCAGCTGGAGAAAAGGTGCCCCCATCTTCAATCCAGCCTTCACATATTTCCTAGAGTAATTCAGCTAACCCATAAAATGGATCACATCACTCCTCTGCTAAAATTCCTTAATCACAGACCCCGTAAAATCCAAACTCCTCTACAAGGCATTTAGGATCTCTTCAGAATCTGGTCCTGTCTATATCTGCAACTGCATATTCTCCCCTAAAATGCCCTCCTTCATGCACTTTTTGGCTCTGAAGATAGGTAAATAGGCACAGTTCCCCATATGAGATATGATTTCTCACACCTCTGTGCCGCAGTGCATACTGTTCTCTCTCCCAGGAACACAGTGCCTGTCACCAACTGTAGAGGGCCTGAGAATTTACCCTACTTGCAAGCTAACAAGTCAGGCTGCCACAAGTTAGGCTGCCACAAGTTAGCCTCCTGGTAGAGGACATGAGACTTCCAGGTCAGAGACAAGGGACCATTTATTACTCAGAGCAAAAGCAGTAGCCACAGAGGCAGCATTTCTGCTGGTTCCCTGACCCTCAGTCCCCACAGGCAAGGTGACACCTGTATCCACAGTGGGTTACAGGAAAGGCACCTGAGTTTCGGGGGACTGAATATTTTATAATGGGGAGTAAGCATGTCTGTCCTTCAATTCTGGAGTGTCCTCCAGAGAGAGAGACTATTTCTATCTTCTATGGCTGCTGCTATTAAAAAAAAGAAAAAAGAAAAATTGAAAAGGTAGTCCAGAACAAAGCAGTCAGTGCCTCTGCTCACAAAATAGAGTCACGACAGACCCAAGAAGACTCTCCCAATGACTCCCACTCTTGTCCTCTAACCTAATCCCAACTCATATACAAGTCCTAGTTCAAGCAACTATCACCTCTTCCTTCCAAGGTGATTTAGGCCATCCATCCTGTCCTGCTGCACTCTGTACCTATCATCATATTTACTTTTAAAAGTTTGAATAGGTTTCCCTCAACAAGTCTGTAAGCTTCTTAAACTCATAAGGTTTGGGGTCTCTAAAACCAGTATTCAAATTCTAAACCTTTTCTGAACTAGAACTGAAGTCTATTCTTTTTACTCTATGTTTTTGTGTGTGATATATATGCATATATCCTAAGAATTAATTCTTATAATATAATTTGAACATAGTTAAGGGCTAATTTTTTAACTTTAAATGTTCAAAAGTTCAGAAATAAACCCATATTTTATTTAGAGTGCTAAAGTATTTCATGAAAGTGTATTCCCTGTCTCTTTTCCTTTAAAGTACAGTTTCTCTTGATGATGAAAACAGACTTGAAGTTCATATAACCCCATAAATAATGATCTCTCCTTTTTTTTCTCTCACCTACAGGTGAAAGTGGCATTAAATGTCTGGCTCAGCTTCCACTCCTATAACTGAATCTGTTTTAAGTTCTAACTGTTGACAGCTGGTAATCCCAAGACATGTTTAAAGCAGTACTAGAATTATTACAAAGGACAGACCCAAGAGCTCTCAATTAGTGTAGATGAGGCAGTTATTAATATGGTGGCAACAAGCGTAGCAGAATTACTTTGCTTTCTTGTAAGGGAATATATGCATAGTGCAATAAAAAATTACACAATTTAATTGTTTGAATCATTTGGTAAATAATCAGTCATCAAATTAGTTCTGCCATTTCACTGACAAAACTATTTGGATGCCTTGAGTTTTCACTTTTCAACCAGCTGGAGCACATCACAGTTTCTTTTTAAAAATAGATTGGACTTTAACACTGTTAATAAACTATCAAATAGTAAGTTCTACTTCAGACATAGTCATAATTATTTATAAACAATTCAGATTCTGCTGACATAAGATTCATGGTAACTTAGACTAGGTAATTATTTACTGTTCAATAAAAAGTTCCATGAGGATTAGATAGCAAGACGGCAGAGTAGAAGGATGTGCTTTCACTCCCTCTTGTGAGAGCACCGGAATCACAACTAACTGCTGAACAATCATCGACAGGAAGACGCTGGAACTCACCAAAAAAGATACCCCACATCTAAAGACAAAGGAGAAGCCACAGTGAGATGGTAGGAGGGGCACAACCACAATAAAATCAAATCCCATAACTGCTGGGTGGGTGACTCACAAACTGGAGAACACTTCTACCACAGAAGTCCACCCACTGGAGTGAAGGTTCTGAGGCCCACATCAGGCTTCCCAACTTGGGGGTCCGGAAACGGGAGGAGGAATTCGTAGAGAATCAGACTTTGAGGGCTAGCAGGATTTGATTGCAGGACTTCAACAGGACTGGGGGAAACAGGGGGCACACACAAAGTAGTGTGTGCATTGGGACCCAGGGGAAGGAGTGGTGAGCCCATAGGAGACTGAACAAGACCTACCTGCTGGTATCGGAGGGTCTCCTGCAGACGTGGGGGGTGGCTGTTTCTCACCGTGAGGACAAGGACACTGGCAGCAGAAGTTCTGGGAAGTACTTCTTGGCGTGAGCCCTCCCAGAGTCTGTCATTAGCCTCACCAAAGAGCCTGGGTAGGCTCCAGTGTTGGGTCGCCTCAGGCCAAACAACCA